AAGAAATAATTTAAAGTTAGTTCAATAGAAGTGTACTAAACTTAACATAGGATGAAATTTAATTGATTCGAGATAAAATTGAACCAATCAAAAAATGGACGTGTGGCACGTTGTAGGCCAAGTATTAGAAGAGTATAAAATGGAAAAAAAAAAAAAATTTCTTCCCCATGTCTTCAACTCATTTCTGGAAGGAAGAGAGAGAGAGAGAGAGAGAAATCTCAAAACTCCTCCAACCTTCCTCCCTTGATCCGTCAAGATCCAACCCTCAAATTATTTCGGGCCACGAACTAAAGTCATTCTATGCGACGAGACCTACAAAATCATAGTTTACATGTTTGAATTAGTATGAATTTTTCTATTTTAGTTTAACTTTATTGGTAGAAATACAATAACTATTTGTTAATTAAAATCATGCATCTTTCATTGTGGTCATTTTGAGGAAGCGATTTATTCATTAAGAAAGAAATAACAAGGATACAAACTCAAGTGTAGTTTTATAAAAATTTATAGCATCTTCAACAACAGAAGTTAGTTTAGCTACTCAATAAACAACATTTTCTATTTTAACTACTCACTTTTTCAATTCACGCTCAAATAGATTTTTTATATTTTTAATTACTTCTTTTAAATATTATTTCTCATTCTTTTTTGTATTATTTTTCTTTGGGAATAGTGAAAGGGAGAAAGAGAGAGAATGAAGGAAAAGAAAGGAGGAGAGAGAAAATATTATAAAGAATTTATACATATTGCTACAGTGATATTCTATAAATGAAATTTTACTTGCTTTAGAGATATTCTACTGGAGTGAAATTTTAGGATAAAATAGCTAAATTTTAAAATTTTTTGTATCTTTGACTTACTCTCTTGGAGATGCTCTTATAAAGACTAACATCTTTCTATTTAGACATCGTATTCATGTCAATACTTGTCAAATGATTTTTTTTAAATTACAATAATGTTCAATATTTAATATCTTGCATATTTTAAATATGTACACATTATTTTTTTTTTTATCATTGTTCGAATTTTGTGTCAAATTTTACAATTCTCAATTCTCAAATCTAGGATTTCGATTCCCAATAAAAATCTCAATTTGATAACTTTGATAATAGGTTCAACATTTTCCATTTCTCAGCTTTTCCCTTACTTCCATTCCCAAAATTATCCTCCCTCCTCTTGTACGTTGAATCATAAGCAGCAATTAGCAAGGGCCAAATGTGAGGCCATTGAAGTAAAGTACTATTGAAGCTGTGAACAAAAAATCCATGCAACACGTACATTGAAGTAGTGAACAAAAACCCATGGTCAAGTTATAACAGATATACACAACTGTATCGATAATTAGAGGAAAAACAAACAGCAATGCTTAGTCCCAAAAATAAATCAATTTCTGCAAAGATAGATCCAAAAAGGTAATGAAAAAAACTGAAATTAAAAACAAATAATAACTAAAACATTGGTTGTTCATATATATCGGCAAATGTAAGAGGTGTGGCTCCTCCATGACCATACTTCAATAGAAGTAAGTCAAATTGTAAGACTTAAATGTGGCCTACATGATTTTTTGCACATGTAATATTTACTGATGACTAATTAATCGGTAAATTGATTGGGTCAAGATAATGATGGGTTTTCAACCCCAAACCAACCAGGTAACTGGTGTTTTCTTATTGGTCACAAAGAAGTAGTAGTTTCCTTATATCATACTTTGATGGGAAGTGGAGTTCATGTTGATTTAGGAAATTGGTCCTTTCTCTACCTATAAACGTGCACATGACCCATTGATTTGTGTATCTTACGTTAAAGGTTAGGAGAAAGAAATTGTGTTTTCAAACTATACCAAAATACTATTATTCTTGTTCAAGAAACTCAAATGTTTACATCAATGACTTCAGGTATGTAAATTATGATATTTTAATTATGCAGTAAAAGTATGTGAAAATCATAATTGTTCTAGATCATGGAATTAAGGTTTGATTGATTTCTTTGATCAAATAAAATTTACATGCGGCAAGAGTAAAGGACTTTCGTGATTTTCCGTTAAAAATATGTATATTGGTCACGATTGTTGCCTACTGTTATGAATTACATTTTTTATTTGTTTGATTGAAAGTTGTACCGACTGTGTTAATATTGTTTTAAAAGTTGGGTGCCAAATGCTTTGAGTAAATATGTATGGAAGCTGTACCGAATTTGAGTAAATAGGTGATTGATATTACCTATTATTAATTATTTTATCCTTAGCTTCAGAATTCTGACACTGATGACTCCAGAGAACAAAATAATTCATTTCTCTCGGTCAACTTCTTGATAGACTAGATAAGACCCAATAAAATATCTGTAACACCTCGCATTTTGTTTTGTATATGTATATAGATATATAGTAAATAATTGTGATAAAAAAAATATGGATATATGTAGTGATGTGTGTTTGAATTTGGTAGATTGGAAAAGTAGAGATTTAAAATGTTAGTGAAAATAATAGTTGAAATTTGGTTTTAATAAGTGAAAATATAAAATTTTATGTACTAGAACTTGTATTAAATAGGTTTGGTGTAAAAATATGTGTTGGAGAGGTTTGAGATGGATTTAGTTGGCTTAGGAATGGATTGGAAATGGAAAAGAGACGAAGACAGGCTGTGAACAGTGCACTGCTGCAACTTCAAGCTTGATTTAGACCCTGATGCAGTCAATATCTCTCAAAACTAAAAAAAATGAAAGTTTTAGAACTCTTTCGTGTCATTCCATAGCATCTTGAATCATCTCAATCGGAGCTTGGATGAGAGAGTTATGCTCAGATAACGAAATGATGTCGAAATAGTCCAATTAGCTTCATTTTGTATTTAATATCTCTATTTGCATCCTAAATCAAAATATAAGAATAATTAGTACTTTTAGGCTTCAAATAAGTATAAAAGGCTTTAAGAAACACCATTTATCACATTTTATTTGCAAACATCGCAAAACTTCATTAATAGCCGATTCGGATGGGTAAAATAGAAACTTTAGTGTTTCGAGTGTACGTTGACTTGGGTTTTGAGATAAATCATAAACATAATTGTTTTTAGGTTAAAATAACATTAAAAATGAATCCGGAACGTCAAAAAACTTTAGGGTAGTCATATGGATCAAATTGAAGATTCTTAGTGGCAAAATCGTAATTTTGGAGAAAATCCAAATTGCAGCCAGTGAACAGTAACCTGTCGGGACTGCTGTGTTTAAAACACAGATTTCAGCCCATTTGCCTCTATTTCTTTCACTNGAAATCCAAAACAGCCTGTGAACAGTGTTTTTCGGGGCTACTATGTTTTAAACCCATTTTCATCTCATTTGCTCTCATTTCCTTCACTCCCCTCACACCCCCACACCTCTTGAAACCCTAGAGGGCATTAGAGAAGAAGAAAGGAAGGGAAAAACAAGAGATTCAAGGGTGATTCAAGATCAAATATTCTTGTTCTTCACTGCAAGTCTAAGGATTCAAAGTAGGGGTTTTCTCTCATGCACTTACATTGAGGCTAGGGTATTTATATATGTACGTTTTGGCTATCAATGGTATATATATGCTATGGAATCATCCTCTCTTAGACTTTTTACAAGGATTACATGTTTTGAACAAAGTAGGGTTTAATACCCATAAAATCTCCTTTCTAGTTTTAAAACCCTAATTTTTGGAGAGTGATGTATTTCCTTCCTAAATACTTTCTTTATTATGGATTTCGAAACCTAAGTGCTTTGTGTTGGGTAGAAAAATGATGTTATTGTGATTTCATGTATTTTCTTAGTTAGTTGTGGAATTGTTTTATGATATGTTTTGGGAATTTTGGGTAGATGCTTGAAAATTAAGATAAATGTTGGAATTGTATGCTTGGTTGGGTTGTTTATGATGCACATGAGTGAGAGGTTCCTTGTAAGGATGCTCACCCCTTCCCAAGAGGTTCCCGGTAAAGATGCTTGAGAAATAATGTAGTGATTGGTAAGAGGTTCCATGTAAGGATGCTCATCAATTTTCAAGAGGTTCCCGGTAAGGATGCTTGAGAATCAAAGGTGACCTAAAAGGGGGGTGGAGGTTATCACAAAGTGTGCCACCTACTGAAAGAATTGTTGGGAATTGGTTATTGCAATTAATGGTTATTATTTGTATGTAGTGCTCATTTATTCATTTAAGTAATATTTTTCAATAAACTTGATATACTTTTTAAATGTCACTGCTTTATTTTAAATTATGTATCTATGTTATGTTAAAATTGAGGCCGACCGTTTTAAATGCTTTTCTAAACCTTGTATGGGTTTGGGAGAATTTTTCTGTAGAGCTTCATGCTCACCCCCTATCGCTAACATTTTTCAGATTACCCGCTTGAGGAGGAGGACATAAGGGTCGAGGAGCCTGCTTCTTGGGAGACTCCACGGGACGGGAGTGTGGATCCCGAGGTGGACGCATAGAGCGACCTCCTTTCCTTTTGTACTAGACTAGGATATTCTTTTGGAACATTGTGTAGTATAGCTTCTTTTGTTTATTTCGCTGCGCTTCTTTAACTAATTTTTGAGATGTAATAGCTATGACTTGGGCTTATTCTTTTTGGATAATGTTGTAAATATTCGTGGATGAAAAATGAAGTCTTGTTTCTTAAGGGATTATATTAGTGCTCTCATGATATAAATGATTTTAGAATGTAATGTCATCCAAGGTGTGTTTTGGGGCGTTACAATATCTGACTGTGATTTTATTAAGAAGTGAGATTAGTGTATTTTGGCTTTATCTGTTGATGGTACGTTATAATTGAAGCCTATAATTCCTTTTAGAGCAACTCCAACCGGCTCAACAAATGACATTTTTTAGTTATTTTGCTGAGCCAATCCAAAAAATTTGGCTCCAACTGGCTCTCCATTTGGCTCGCTAAACTGCCTTCCTCCATTCTCACTCATCACTTGTGGCCAGCGACATTCTCTCTCATCCGATCTTTCTCCCCCCAAATCTAGTTGTTCTTCATCACTAGTCTCTCTCATTCCCCACCACCATCGTCCCAGGATTCACCAGATTCCCCACCACCATCGTCGATCGCTGTTCGTGGCCAACAAAGGGTAAACCCAGCAAGTTCAGAGGTGGGGGAGGCGAAACTCCACACTGGTTGCATCTCAAACACTACCCTTAAACCAGCGTCGTCGAGTTCGTAGCTCTGCAATACAACACATTTGTCTCAAATTCTCACGAAACAAACTCCACTGGTTCGATCTTTTTTTCTCCAAAGCATACAAATTTATTTAGGTAACGCAATTTGGGGGGTTTTTGATAAACTTTTTGGATTGAGAATTTGGGATTTAGTTGGATTGCCAAGAATGTGTTGATCATGGTACATATATCATTACTTTTTTTTATTACATACTGCTGTATTGTCATCGTTTTGGATAGCTGAACTTTTGGTGCCACTATATAAATTGTTGGTTTTTCAGTATGTTTGTTTGGAATACTGGACTGGAATGTTTTAATGGCAGAAACCTTCGGCTTTATGTGTTATGCCCAAATGGTGCTCGATAAAATGTATTTTAGATAGATTTTGTTTGGGATTGAGCAAAACCTGTTTGGAGTGTTTGTTTGTTTGGCTGGAAAACTGAGTCAAAGCAAAGAAAATGGAATTGAAATTTTGTGTTTATGCTGTATGTATACGGCTTTGGTGTAGTATGTTTAGATAAGTGATTTTTTTTACCTCGGTTTTCAAATGTTAAGCAATCTAACATTTCAATGTTTAAGCAAATAATCAAATTAACTGATGAAAAAAAAAGAGCAAAGCATCAAAGGTGATTGTGAAAGTTGTTCAGATTTCCAATACTTTTGTGGGTCTGTGTTGCCAAGGGTTGCAATCAAGATGTGTTGAAAGTTGGTCAAATTAATGTATGTACTGAGGCATTGTCATTGTATTGTGATCATGCTATTTCATTGGCATGAACCATGGTGTTAGTTGGGAATATCGTAATTTCATACCTGCAGTGCTATTGTCTTTGAATCTAATATATGACAAGAAGCTTAGTTATGGACGCTATTCCCTCGTTTCCAGGTTTGGGCTATTGTAGGCAGTCTGCTCTTGTGTAGGCAGTCTGTGTTAGCTCAGCTTGGAAGGTGCTTGGTTGGGGATGGTCTGATGATCTGAGGAGTCAGTTATCTGGTTTGACTGCTCTTGTCTGATGATTTGGTGTTTGGGCAATTAGTGTGTGCAATCTGAGCATTCTGTTCTGATTTGCACTGCATTGTGTTGATTGTTTAATTGCTTATCTGGGCAATTGGTAGAAGCATTGTAACTAATTTGTTTAATTGCTGAGTTGCTGCTGTTGATTGCTAATTTGGAGATGTAGTGTGGGAGACTGTTTATCTGATACTGGAACTGTGGTGTGGGCTGCTGTTTGCTAAGCTGACCTGTGCTGAGAAGGAGCTTGTTTGAAGTTGTAGCAGGAGCTGAGCAAACATGTAATAATTTTTTTTCTATGATGTGCTGTTATGAGGGGATACTGAGGTTTGGATGGTTTGGTGCATCAGACTGTAAGGTTGATGCTTCAGATTCTTTGAGTTGGTGCTGTTGTATTTGCAGCAGGGTGTGCTGTTTGTAAGGCAGGAGCTGAAGTGGAAGACAGAAGGGTTGTTCTGATTTCTGCACTGAGAAGGAACATGGTCTCTGACTGCATTTCAGCTGGATGGAGCTGCTGAAGTTGCATTCTGGCAGGAACTGAGGTGGTTTTTGCTTTGGTTGCTGGACAGATGAATTTGTTTGCTTCTTGTAATTTTTGGGTTTATGAAATATAATTTTTTCTTTTTCTAAAAAAAACAAAAAATTATAACTCAAATAAAATTATTATAATGTATGCACTTGTTGGGTACCATTTGAATAATGTATGACCGTTGAAAATATGACCGTCGTAAAATTTAAAATTTGATGACATGACACGACATGTCATCATTATGGCGCTTAAGTGTTACGCCAAGTGGCATTTTTGAATTATATTATTGAAAGTTAGTTGAAGTAGTCAGCTAAAATAGAGAACGTGGTTGTAGTGAATTTGAAAAAGTGGATAGCTAAAGTAGTGAATACAATATTTAAATATATTTTGAGTAGCTATTTTATTGAGCATGGTTGGAGATGCTCTTACACATTTTTTTTCTGTTGGGCAAATTTACAGAGAATGTCAAGTGTCTTACATTATGATCTGTATTTTATATTAATATGTGTGATAAATTTTAAACAAGATATCTATACATCTTTAGATTGTCCTCTTCCTGTTTGATTATTGACGGTTTTGTCCAGAGAGTTACACATGTTTTTTGATGTCATATTTTATGTCACATTAATTGGGCTCTTACCAGATAGTAAGACGTTGGATGTCACTGTGACACCAATTACAGTTTATTCATTATGACACATAAGTTGTATATTATTTTGCCCATGAATGTGTTAATGTTAGCCTTATGGATAATATGATGTATCATAATAGTTTTTTAAAATATATATATATATATATATATATATATATATATATATTAATTGTTTATGCAACGTCATTATTTTGATTTAATGCTTATGTTATGATATAGTTTAGTAGCCGCCAAAGTGGCCTAACTAGAATGATTAATAAGTATTAAATCATATAATTGATATTTAATATCCATTACTGAGGTATTAAAATAATGACTTGCAAATCGCAGTTTCTTGATCATTTGGATATTAGGAATCGGCCCAAAGGTGCACCATCTTTCAAATGATTAATTAACTAGGATAGGATAATTGGGGTATATTCGTGATTGGTGGGTCCTGGATACCTAAAGGTAACAGACCTACCTAATTATGGATGTATCATTAATTAGTCCTATTAGGTGAAGGGAATCACCATGATGGTTAATGTATTAGTGTATTGTGATTACTACCCAAAGGAGAGTCACGATAGGACTATTTATTGATTACAAGAGTATGTATTTTATTCTTACTTATGTCTGAACTGTTAGATTAGTGAGCATTTAACTTATTACAATGTATGTTCCTGTTTCGTTGCATTCACATGCTTCTTCTATTTCAATGCTTAATGGACTAAATTTCTTTGATTGGCATGAACAAGTCCAGTTTCACCTAGGTGTTTTTTATCTTGATTTAGCACTACAAACTGAGAAACCTACTGCTATTACTGAGACAAGCAGTGCTGATGAAAGAGCTTTCCATAAAGCTTGGGAAAGATCGAACAGATTGAGCCTTATGTTTATGCGGATGACCATTGCAAGCAACATTAAGGCAACTCTTCCACAGAAAGACATAACTACTAAAGAATTTTTTGATATTGTGGAAGATTGTTTCCAAACTGCTGACAAGTCTCTTGCTGGAACATTAATGGCTGAGCTTACCACCATGAAATTTGATGATACACGTACGATGCATGATCATGTCATCGAGATGACAAATGTAGCTGCTAAATTGAAGGCTCCAGGAATGATTTCTTTTTAACAAAGTTTATTCTAAACTCCTTGCCTCCTCAGTATGGTCCTTTTCAGATTCACTATAACACTATTAAGGATAAGTGGAATGTGAATGAATTGACCAACATGCTTGTTTAAGAGGAGACAAGGCTTAATAAATTGGAAAATCATACAGTTCATCTCATAAGTCAAGGAGCAAAAAGAAAATGAAAGAAGCCTAAAGGTATGAAGCATGGTTTACCCAAGACTAATGAGCCTACTCAAGTTACTCAGGCTTATAAGAAGGAAAAGAGTGATAGGTGTCACTTCTGTAAGAAGTTGGGGCATTTTCAGAAAGATTGACATAAGCGAAGGGCATGGTTCGAAAAGAAAGGTAAACATTTAGCTTTTGTATGTTTCAAAATCAAACCTTACTAAAGTTCCTTCAAATACTTGGTGGATTGATTCTGGTGCTACTATTCATGTTTCAAATACGATGCAGGGATTCCTTACAACCCAAACCATAAATCCAAATGAGAAATTCATATTCATGGGTAACCAGGTCAAAGCTCCAGTTGAAGCTATTGAGACTTTTCATTTATTTCTAGGTACTGGTTATCATTTGGATTTATTTCAGGCACTTTATGTTCCTTCTATTTTCCAAAATTTAGTTTCTTTGTCTAGACTTTATGTTGATGGATATTCTTTTAAATTTGGTAATAAGAGTGTTAGTTTGTTTCAGAATACCTCTTTCATTGGTTCTGGTATTCTGCATGATGGTTTGTACAAAATGAAACTTGATAACCTATTTGTTGAGTCTTTTTTACCTTGCAGCATAATGTGGGAACCAAATGTAGCTTGATGAATGAAAATTCTTCCAACTTGTGGCACAAACGACTGGGTCATATATCTAGAGAAAGGTTAGAGAGATTGATGATGGATGGGATTCTTCCGAATCTAGATTTCACTGATCTCGGAGTGTGTATGGATTGTATTAAGGGAAAACAAACCAAACACACCAAGAAAGGTGCCACAAGAAGTAATGAACTCCTTGAAATTATCCATACAGACATATGTGGACCTTTTGACACTCCATCGATTGGTGGAGAAAAATATTTTATTACCTTTATTGATGATTTTTCATGTTTTGGTTATATCTATTTATTGCATGAAAAATTTCAGTCAGTGGATGCTCTTGGGGCGTACATTATTGAGGTTGAAAGGCAGCAAAATAGAAAGGAAAAAGTCATCAAATGAGATGGAGGTGGTGAATATTATAGAATATATGATTATTTAAGATAATGTCTTGGTCCATTTGCTAAACTTCTTGAAAAGTATGGCATTTGTGCACAATACACTATGCCTAGTACACCACAGCAGAATGGTGTAGGTAAAAGGCGTAATCGTACTTTAATGTATATGGTTAGGAGTATGTTAAGTAATTCCTCATTACCCTTATCTTTGTGGATGGAAGCTCTTAAGACCTCTGTCTATTTATTAAACCGGGTTCCTTGTAAGGCAGTTCCAAAGACTCCTTTTGAACTGTGGACAGGAAGGAAACCGAGTTTAAAACACCTGCATGTTTGGGGTTGTCCAGCAGAGGCTAGGATTTATAATCCACATAAAAAAGAAATTGGATTTTAGAACGATTAGCTGTTTCTTTTTTGGTTACCCAGCAAAATCCAAAGGGTATAGATTTTACTGTCCTACCCATAGTACAAGAATTGTTGAAATCGGTAATGTCAGATTCATTGAGGTTGGTGAAAACTGTGGAAGTGATAAATCATGAAATCTGATTATTAAGAAGTTAAGGAAAAAGTCCTATCACCCATAACTTCTAATGATATTGTTGTTCCTACAGTTGTTGTATAATATAACAACATTGAACAACAATTAAATGATCAACCACTCCATAATGAGGTTGTCACCATTGAACCGATAGTAGAAGAATCACAAGGGGTAGCATTAAGACGGTCTTAAAGAGAAAGATGACCAGCTATTCCGGATGATTATGTGATATACCTATAAGTGTGAAACCCAGGAAAATTTGAACTTTTTTCTTAGAAAAGACAATGGTAATTTGTCATTTTAATGCGTATTTAAAATACTCATGTTCTAGATCTCGGATGATGAAACGAACCTCACCATTGGATTCGTTTCGCGAAATCTAGTTATGTAGACAAATTTTGTTGAATTTCGAGATAGTCGAGTTTTTCATATTTTTCGAGGTGACGGGTGTCCGTTGACCCCCAAAAACGAAATTTTTATAAAAATTTTAAAATTTGAAAAATATTTTAAATAAAGTTCATATAACATATTTTGAGCTTAAACCGGTACGAAATTTAATCGTTTCGGGGGTGAAAACAAACCCGAAAATAAGAGCCGTGTGGCGCATTGTGAGCCAAGGGTTTTGGGACTATAAATAGGTGAAAAAATCTGATTTCCCCACTAATTTTCTCTGCTGGTCTGAGCGTTGGGCAGAGAGGGAGCAAAAGAGAAGAAAACAAAGATATTCAAGTTTCAATCCAAGATTCCCAGAGTTTCGTCGGTCGAAATTCGTCGAGCCAAGAGTCAAAGTTCATCTCCTCGATGAGGGCTATGTGTATGTACCAAGAAAAGTGGATTTCACCAAAGGTCCAAGAAAAAGACTTTGGAGGAATCAAAGGTTCTTGGGCTTGTTTTGGCGTTTTTAGAAGTTCTACCAATTCCTACACGCTACAAGAGGTAGAGTTCCCTTCTACTTTGGTTTATTAACCTAAGGTCTCCATAGGGTTTATGTGGTCTCCATAGGGTTTATGTGGGCTATTTTGGGTATTTTTAATATTTGCCTATTATAGTTGGTTTAATGAAAATTGGTAGGCTCAATTCTAGTGTGAATTGGTAATTAGAAATTACTAGTTTGTGATTTCTTGGAAGTTTTGATAATTGAGCATGTGAAAATTATTTTTTATGATTGTTTTTGAGTTATATGATGAATTTGAGTGTATTATGTGTTTACTGAGTGGTGCCTTGAAGATGTTTGATTAAATGTC